GTGCAGAAAAAAAGATATCGGTCAAGATATGGAATAAAAAAAACCTTATGCTCTTGGTAGGAAAATAAATTACTACAGCCACTATTGAAAACAGAATGAAGACACAAAAAACTAAAAACAGAACTACCATATGAGCAATCTAGCTATCCAATGTCTGGGTAGACATACAGAACAAGTAAAATCATCATACAAAAGAGCTAGCTGGACTGTGTGAGGGCACCACAGTGCACACATGGAGTGTGTTGCTAACAGCCCCTCCCCAATGACAGCACCACCATTTTGAAGTTTCTACCGCCTGCCGGCTGTACTGGAAGGCTCCTCCCTCCTAGGAGACCAGCAACCCACGCGATGGAGGCAGTGACCCTGGAGGATACACTTATGCACTTCACCATGGAGGAGTGGGCTGCGCTAAATGCATCTCAAAAGAAGTTCTACAAAGATGTGATGTGGGAGACATTTATGAATGTGAGTGCTACATGTAGGAGGAACCTGGGAAAACTACCAAATTGAAGAACACAAAAATTGCTCATCAAATTCAAGAAATGAAAAAATAGCTAAATTCTATCAAAATAAAGCCTGGAATCAACATGTAAAAATATTCCTTCAGACTTCAGATGAGAAAACCAACATGTACGATAGACTGATCAAGTCCCTTGGCAGTGTGTCACACACAACATGCAATACTTCTCTGAAGCTATAACAATAGCTTATTTCATATAACATGGTATCAATAATAGTTTTATTCTTTTAGGACTGAGCATACGCCATTTGTGTGGGAGGGTATGCATCTGTTTATCTGGTGATGGCTGCTTAGGCTTATCCCTTACTTAGCTACTGTGCATAGAGCCACAATAAACATGAGTATGCAGATCTCTCTCTCTCTCTCCCTCTCTCTCTCTCTCTCCTTCGCTCCCTCCCTCCCTCTCTCTCTCTTGAAAGTAGTACAGTTTATTTTTTGGTACAAATAGTAATGAAATTAATACAAAATTGCAAACATCAATAACAAGCATGAAAAGTAAAATGGTGATGGCAAAAACTATATAAATCATAATATTGACTCTAACGTAAAAGCAAAATACGTGAATTTATGCACTTCATATAGTTGTTTGGAGATATAGATAGATAGATAGATAGATAGATAGATAGATAGATAGGTAATGTCAGGACACAAAAAATGAAACATTTGGTAATCTATAAGCTGTGAAAACAAATGAGCTTTTCAAAAATATATGTTCACATCTCTAAATATATATACATATATAAAATCAAAATCAAAAGTACCTTTTTTTACACAGAATATGAAGTGTATATACCAAAAAAATTAAAATCAAAATAAGTGGGCCCACCAATTAAAGAACAATCAATATAAATTATTTTTTTAGTACCCTATACCTCCCCATAGTAAAAGCCAAATAAAAATTATATAAATACTAACCCTACTTGGAAGTGAGAAGTACACATTTCCAATCTTCGTGTTCAATTAGAAGATAGTATATATTAAATTTAAAGACAATGGCTTCTACAAAATAAGTTACTATTTTTATAGTAAACACTATACAAACATTATTCAGGTATTTATAGTGATTTACTAAAGAAGGAATACATTCTCTGCTATCTCCATCTGGAAGTGTGTTTTCTGGAAACTTAGGGAATACTGATACCAAAATTTTCAATGAAATTATTACAGGGCTCTACTACATGAAAAACTCTGCCACAAACTTGCCATTTTCCAACATAATGGGGGGAATAGAAGTCATGCACAAAGGGTACAAGTGCAAGAGATTGAACTGAGAATAGCCTTCTACCAAAGCATTCTCTCAGAAACTAATCCAGCCCCATGCTGATCCCATCACAAGGGTAGAGCCTCCCTGACCTAATTACCTTCCACTGGGCCCCACCTCTTAAAGATAATAAAATTAATAAAAAAATAAAAAAATAAATTAAAAAAAAGATCCTCCACAACATCGACACAGCAGGGACCAAGCTTTCAGGACAAGACCACATCCAAATCACGGCACAATCATACAAAACCACACTTACGGTTCTTAATCTGCTGCACACTACCACGAATATCAAGTGACCCCTTTCTGCTTTCTGACCTACAGATCTGTGTGGATAAATATGTACACAGGCACGTATACGTGTGCGGCTATGCCTGTATACATACTCGCATTTCCTTAGTCTATCCACTCTCCCCAAAAGTGCTTTTCAAGATTCTCGCCATTGTGCCTCCCACAAGTCCACAACTCATCCATATGTCCCCTATACTAACGGCTAAAGCAGGAGGATCGCTGTGAGTCTGGGACCAGCCTGAGCACAAAGTGAGAGCAAGGTCACGGCAAGGAAAGACGCTGTCTCAAACCACAAAAAAACAGTAATAATATTAAATGCCCTCTGGGGTTGTGGATGTGGCTCAGTGGAGAGCTCTTGCTTCACATGCACAGAGCCCTGGATTTGATCCCCAGCACCACCAAAACAAAAAGATCAACAGAAGACCTATAGAAAAATACATACATAAAACTTCCACGTTCTCCAACCATCACACCTGAGAGCAGCCTACATTTACATCACATCTGTATCTTTCCCTATAGTTACCATGTTTACTCTTACCTAACCTTCCCACTGGAGCTGGACCTCACCCCTCTAACCCTGGACACAAGGCCCTTGCTCCAACAGCTGCTGCCCCTGCCTTCCTACAGCACTGTCAACCCTCCCTTTCCACTCGGTCACTTTCGCAGGCACAGCGCACAATACAGACTCTGCTTATGTGGAAGGAGGCTTCCAGATTAGCCTTCAGGGATCAATGTCTCCTGGTATTTGCACTTTAGGAATTCACCTCCAACATACCATGCTTGACAGGTTGGTTTAAGGGACTAGTGTAAATAATAAGTGTACACTTCTGTAACTTACCCTTATTTGTACCTTACTCTAACTATGGTAACTTATTTCCTTTTCTTCTGACCTTGCTTCTCTCTCTATTTTATATCCACTCGTTAAGCCATGTGACACAGACATTTCTGTCAGTGAATCTGCTTTCCCACAACTTCCAGGATAGTTTGCCTGCTGGCTTACATAAAAAGCTGCCACTGAATTAATTTCTCAAAGATATATTTCTTCACCCTACTCTAAAAACATTACTAGATGTCATTATGTACTTTCCCTTTTTGAAACATTTTTTCACATTTCAGATCATCACTCATGGTTCTTCTCATGGCCAAGTACTTCTCATGCCCTCTGAAATGGAGCATGCTTTCTGCAAATTTTCATCTGACTTTCTCCTTCACTTCCTTTAGGTCACTACTCAACTCTCACCTTCTCTCAAAGGACTTTCCTTTCATGTCTTTTATAAATACAAACTTCTGTCACTTCACACAAATACTCCCATCCATAGCATTTCCTTTATTCCTTGGTCTGCTTTATTTTGTTCCATAATTCTAGCCTGACAGTCACTGGCCAAACTGCACACCTGCCAGTGGATGGTTTGCTAACACCTCATCATTTGGGCCTCCACTATTTGAGAGGAGGCTGTAAATACCAGAAAGGTGGCAAGGTCAGAGACTGCTTTGTGACAATCATGGTCTTAACAGGAAAAATTACCTAGTTAACAAAATCTTAACACAGAGAAACCAGGAAGATACTCTCTAAACAAGTATAAAAATAACATCACTGGTCATTTCACAAATAATGCTTCCTAGTATGACGCAGTGAGAACACACCATATCTTTAATGACTTGCCTGCCAAAAGCATATAACCTCTTTCTACTTATAGGAAAACACATTTAAAAACTTGCTATTAGGGAAATTCAAAGAAAGGAAGGGAGGGAGGGAGGGAGGGAGGGAAGGGAATGGAGGGAAGGAGAAAAAGAGAGGGATGGACAGAGGAGTAGGGGATAGGAGGGAGAAAGCAAGAAAGCAAACTGTCTTATATTCTTCAAGTACGGATGGCATGAAACACAAAATCCCGGTACTGTTCCAGATTTAAGTAATCAAATAGCCACAATTAAAACAAAGTATAAGTGGATTTTATTTTGTTAGAAATGAAAAATACTGTCTACAGATTATATAATGGTCTTCTATCAATAGTGATTTCTTGGCTGATAATGTTTATGTAAGAGAATGACCTTGTTCTTAAGTAAAACATATAAGTGGTATTAAGAGGGAGAAGCCTATGTCTTCAGTTTACATTAAAGTTAAAAAATGATTACATGAAAGAAAAGATAAAACAAATATAGTAAAATGTTACTATATGAAAAGCCCTTGTAACAAATATATGGAAAATGTTTGTATTATTCTTATAATTTTTCCATAATTCAGAAATTATGTCTAATAAAAATTTTAAGTAAAAATTCAACATTAAAACATTTCAAAAATATTTTCTTCCCTACCCCTTTTCTGGCTTTTTGAGACATGTTTTCACTATGCAATTCAGGCTGTCCTTGAACTCACTCTGTAGCCCAGGCTGACCTCAAACTCAAAAATTTCCCTGCTTCAGCATGCCAAGTGCTGGGATTATAGATATGTGCCACCATGCTAAACAGGACAAGAATATTTTCAACATATAATTTTCACAAGATTGGCTATTTCAGATTTTATAACAATCTCAAAAAAAACCAAAACAAAACAAAAAGACATGAGCTCTATAAATTCCACTTTCAAATTCAAACTTTTAAAATGTGTAACAGTGACAGACCTAGGATGCAAGCTTTTTTACTAATACTGCTTACTGAACTCTAATATTCTTGACATTCTATACAATGTAGCTACTTTTAATTTTTTTTTAAATTAAAAATATCATGAAGGATAAATATCATAGCGCTGGTATTTAGTGAAATATTGCTTTCCACAATGTTTTCCTCATTAACCTGAAAAATACATTATACTTAAGGATACTGTATTAGTCCATTGAAGTATCTGGAAATATTAGAGAAAAAAAAAACCAAGAATAGTATAAACATAAAAAAAATGGTTTTCTTTATGTACATTTAGTGTCAATCAGCCACTTCCAAAAGAATCAAAGCAAAATTACCTTCGTGAACTGTAATGCCACAATTGTCACACTGAATGATTTCATCAGCATCCTCACTGTTATCTCCAAGACACACACAGCAAATCAGAATATGGTCCATTTTTTGGGAACTCCAGTTTTGACTCTTCTCAAGAATCAGCGAGTCCTAATATTGAAAAACATGAGAAAAGGACATCAAAGTTAAAAAGTACAATTCTCATTATGAATGAACATATTCTTACATTTCTAATTCTGTCATTTTCCATTCTTCTCATAACTGCAATCTGTGCTACAGGTGAGATCCATACCACCTCATCAAAGACCCTCGAATCGCCCTCTTAGTTTACTTCTCTGCAAGCTCCACATTTTCTCTTCTTTATGAAATAAAAAAGGCATGCAAACAAGTCTTTGTCTCCTTTGTCATTCTTTCTTTAAAAGAAAAAATGAGCCTACAACTAATTATTAATTCTACAGATAGACTGCAAAGGTGGAAGTGCATCCATACTTGGAATGACTTCAGGCTTCCTCAGAAAGACAAGACATACATACATGAAACAGGAAGAGAGAAGTTCAAGATAACATATGTCAGTGTACATGTGACTTTGTTACAAACTATATTCTCTGTATACTAAGGAATTCACAAATTCCAGGGTTACCAAATTACTGGACAATGACACCCTGAATAGATCTATCTGTATATACAGGTACAAAAAAAAAAAATCATCTACATAAGGTCCTGAGTCTTCCAGTTGCTAGAAAAACTACAGTATTCTACTAGGTTTATGTCAAGAAATAGCTAGTGAAAACTGGTAGTAAAGATACCTAGCTACACAGTGAGACCCTGTCTTAAAAAAAAAAAAGTATCTAGCTAGAAAGGTATATAGCTAGTTTCAATATAAAGGAGAACATATAAATATAAAAAGACAAAATCCGAGGGTTTTATTTAATCCTCTTGCACTACGGATTTAAACATTAATAACAAAATTGTTCTCATATTGAATAGATTGAGTTTAATATTATATATAACAAGAGATGTGTAGGGGCCAGGGAGATGGCTCAGTAGAATAAGCACTTCCCTGGCAAGTGCAAGGGCCTGAGTTCAAGCCCTGGTTCCGAAAAAAAAAAAGATGTAATTCCAGCACTCTGGGAGACTAAGGCAAGAGGATCACCAAGTTTGATCTCAGATTGGGGAACTTAACTTAGTTTCAGAAATAAAAACAGAAAAATTGCTGGAGATACAGCTTTAGGCAAAGATGCTGAACTCAATCTGTAGTAGCTCAAAACAAAAAGATGAAACCTATTATGTATAGTTATATACATATACATATATAGTTATATATACAGTTATATATAACTACATATATGTATATATATATTTGGTGGTAGTTGTTTTTTGTTGATGTTGTTCTGAGTCTGGGTCTCACTATGTAATCCACGCTGGCCTTGAGCTTAACTTATGAAACATTCATAAACTCATGGGAATCCTCCCGCCTCACTTAACCATTCTCAAAAGCAAAATAAATTAGTCCCATACTATACATTCACATGTACTTTCTTCCCTATTAATACTTTCTGTATTTTTATAGTCTCTTAAACTCTACCAGTATCCAAAGGAAAAATGTGGAGCCAATATTATATATCAATTTGTAAATAAAACTTGAAAACACCTGAAGACCAGAATGTTTTTGAAATGTATTTTGTTAGTAACATCTACAATTACAGTTTATCTGTAAAATACATCAGAAAAAAATACAAAAGTCAACAAGTAGTTAAGGCCATTTCTTGAGAATTCTAGTGCAAGCTTTGTATTTTATTTCCCTTTGTTATAAAACCAAAGTAACCTGAAGCTAACAAATAGCAAAGCCATCAAGTAAAGCTGAAAAAAATATTTTACTGTATCTTCATACAGTAAAAAAAAAATCTTCAAAGATTTTCACACCATTAACCCTGCTTCAAAAGTGACAGCATGTGACTTAAAGTAAAATATCCTCGGATTGCATTCTCACCTCACTTACTAGTTGCTGAACTTCAAAAGTGCAATCTCCTCACAGGAAAAATGAGAATGATAAAGATAACACCTACATCATAAGGTGACTGTGAGAATAAACTATGTGGCAAGGTATCTCTGGCCATGCTAGGCTCTCAAAGAATGCTCATTACCTTCTTCATTTCCTCTGAATTACTTCTAGGTGCTACAAAGAGAAATTTGTACTGACAACTTGTTACACTGGGAGGTCTTCATTGGAACCATAAAGGAAAAATGACAAGCCTCAATGAGCACTAATAAAGTAAATATCCTAACTCCACAAGAACATGTCTTGCTTAGTATATCACATCTAGGTTAAACAATTCCAAGTAGGAAGCAAGCTAACAAATACCATAGTTTGACAACTAAGAGACCTCTCCCATTATGGACTCCGCTGACATTTCTCTGGTAGAATTCAACTATACCGCCTTGGAAAGATGGTTTGCCATTGGAGAAACAATTTCCAAAGGTCAGAAAAAAAGAGCATCAACGTCGAACTCCTAGAGGATAAGAAAACATAACTAACTTTAGGGTCTCTGAGTCCCAGAAGGGGACATGAAACTCTTACTGGAAATGTACTGCGAAGACAGAAATGTGAAAAAGCAGACCCTACAAGTCAATCCCTTAAAAGGTTGTCTGAGCCAGGGATACAGCTCAGTGGCACAAGCGCCTGCTGGGCAAGCGTGAGGTCCTGAGTACAATTCCTCGTGCCAAAAATAAAGAAACGGTTGGCAGAAAATACTTCAATGGGAAAATTTAAATTTACCCTTTGAAAAAATATTTTTAATAAAGCAAACATAAGATTTAAGCTCACTTATGATCAAAGAAACGTAAAATGCAGGCTGGCGAGATCGCTCTGTGAACTAAGTGCCTGCTCTGGCAAGCGTGGGGACCAGGGTTTGATCCCCGGTCCTGCATGCCGCAGTTCCTCACCCCAGCCCACCCCACCTTGGGCACACTGAACCTGCCACGGAGACCACCACGGTGGCGCACACCTGTAATCCCAGCACTGGGGAAGCTGAAAACAGGAGGACCACTACAAGTCTGAGCTGGGTAGTAAGACCCTGTACCAAATACATAAATGGAAAAAAAAAAAAAAGAAAGAAAGAAATATAAAGTACAAATTTTGTTGACATACTTCTGAAAATATCTTTTAAGGGAAAATAGTTAAGCTAAAGTTAACACAAAATTTTAAATATACTGCTGTACCTAAACATAAAAATCAAAAAAAATTTTAAGAGTATCACCTGGAAAATAACTATGTAATTAAAAGAATCTAGTATCATCACTATAAAAGAACAAATGGGGTACTACAGTAACAGATCAGTAACAACTTGTTTCATTTTTTTCTCCTTAGAAAAAATTAATCTTCACTCCAGAAATATTAATATTGTTCAGTGTTTTTCCCTAGGTTCTAAAGTATGTTTACCATCCAGATACATGTATTTCACAAAGATGACTGAAAGCAATACATAAAATTGGCTAAATTTTACCTAAGTTATATTTGTGATTGATAGAATAAAATTACTATACACTTTTATCAAACAAACCAGAAAAGGTGAGAAAAAATTAATGCACCAATAATTCTTCCTGAGATTTTGAAGAAGTATTTTTAAGAATGTCAAAAAAAAAAAAAAAAAGAATGTCAAATAATACATGTACATTTCAGCAGGGAAAACTGATACACAAGATTATTTGTATAATTTTTTTTACAACTGACTATAAGTTACAATAATCTCAAAATTAAAAGTTTTTTAATAGTAAGGACTGTATTTGCAATATAAGAAATTAAAATGGAGATAATTCACACAAAAATAATACCCGTACAATGTAACAAAACTAATTTTTATTCACTTGTTTTCTGAGACAAGGTCTTGTTATATAGTTCAGGCAGGATTTGAGCTCACTATGTACCTCAGGCTGGCCTTGCACTCTAGGGTGACCCCCATCTGAGCCTAAGGGCTGGGACTGTAGGCATGCATCACCGCACCTACATTTCAGCTATCCCTTTTATAAACTTGTATTTAAAGCTTAAAAGAACAGGAATAAAAATAAAAATAAAAAAGAACAGTTACTTTCAGGGGCCGGGGAGATGACTCATTAGAGTAAGCACCTGCCTAGCAAGCGCAAGGTCCTAGAGTTCAATCCTTGGTACCATAAAAAAAAAAGAAAGAAAGAGGAATAGTTCAAATATATTCATCTTTTTTTTTTTTAGTTCAAATATATTCAACTATATACTTATTAGCAACCTAACAAACATTTAGCAAACCTAAGCTAACAAAAAGATCAAGATGCAAACACTGGCCAGAAGGCAACAAAAAGATTCACTTTAGTCATTTCTTTACAAAACCAAGATGCACAGAAAATACAGAAATGCAGTAATCTAAACTGATTAATTTTTAATTAAAATTTCCTACCTAGTTTTAAATAGAACTAGAATCATCAAAAGAACACTGAAGAGTGAATAATACAGTTGTGAGGATGGGTACTCAAACTTTTAGGTAAAGCATTATTCTGAAGGAAATTAACTTTTCATAAAAAAGGGTGCCCTGACATGCCTGTGGAAATATTACCCTAAACACACTGAAGGTTTCTTTACTGACCAATGTGGCAAAAAAAAAGAGGAAGTAGTGCATGTGGCCTTCAAGTGTACCATAAAGGTTAGTGTAAAATTTCTTAAAAAGCACATTATGAACAGAAAATGTTTATACATTTTATGGTGAAAATTTCTCAATTTGCAATATCAGGTCTTCTCCAAACTGACATAATCCACACTGCCTCTATTACTAGCTAGACTACTTCTGTGAATACCAGCCTAATAAAATGAAAGCAAAGTGGTGTTACTCAAAGGTAAACATTCAGTAAATACAGAATTTTAAGCGCTACAAAATCAACTGAACGCAAGCCTACATTAAAATCTTAACAAGTGGATTTTCATACTTCTGCTTCCCTAAGGTAACATTAGTAATACAGAACAGCTTGTGCTATACCATTTTAAAATCTACATTACATTATTAATGATTTCTTTACTTAAGAATAAGATAGCACTGGAGGCAGGCAACATTCTTCATAGCAAAGTGGGGAACCTAGAAGTTAATCAATATTTACTGTTTCATCTCCACTGACATATGACTCCTGACAGCTTACTATAAACTGGTTAAAAAAAAAAAATCATAAGGATTTTTTGTAAAATTTAATTAAAGTAAATAATCACTGCTATGAAATACTTATAACATTGTGAAAGAACAAAGCATTAAAAAGGAAATCTATCAGTTTAAGATACTTCAATGATAGAAAAAAAGTAAGTGGTAAAGAAGGAAATTTTGGTGATAAACACATTAACAGAAATGACACAATTATTATAGCTCTACATGTGATGTTACAGATACATCTACATGTATGAAAACTGAATCTTTTGAAGAAAAACATACATAAACACAGAGACAGACACAAATGTGTTTGACTGAAGAGTCTTGCATGTTGGCATCTCTGGACCAAAAGGACAAAGCCTAACTTTCAGAGGTAGAACTTCAAGTAGAAGAACTGAGCCATTACTGTAGTTTATTTTAGAAATGTTTGTTCTATGATGGAAACTTTTTCATTTCTTTGTAGAGACAATTGTCACTAAATATACGTAAACAAAGTGTATATTTACTCCATATATATACATATATATATGTAGCAAAGATTTGGTGACTACACTGCTGATGCGTGCTAAGTCTGGTCAAGGAGTTAAAGGCTTTAACATGAATCTCTAGCAGTTCATTAAGCTGTCTATTGTCCTGCTCCACAGGGCAACAGAAAAAAAAAAAAAAATTATGTTTTTAAATGGATATGGAAGGTGACCTAAATTTTCCAAATCAATTCAGCACCATTCAGCGGGGCTTTGAATAACTGGGAAAGGATTTAAAAAGGTACTGGAAAACATCTATGATTTACCAAATCTAGAGACATGAAAACACTTCTCTAAATATTTCTCGAGGACGGAGATTGCGGTATCCTTGAGAACGGTGACAAGCAGTGCTCAGTCAAGGTTTGCGGAATAAATGTTATGTTCAAGGCACTCACTCATTCCCACAGCTAAACAGGATTCTAAGGGAGCCACTTAGTATAATGAGCAGAGTGATTTAGAGAAGAATTCCCTTTCCCCAGACAGACAGAGATCAGAAAAATTGGGATGATCTACCTCATTGCTCTTGCTCTGAGATAGTGTGAGGCTATCATTGGTTAGCTCCTCATCATCAGCACTGTTTCTGCTAAGTACTTTACTCTTCTTCTTCTTGCAGCCCGCTTCACTAGCAGGACTGCTGTGGGCTTCGTCATGGCCTTCATCATTCTCGTCCTCCTCGCTCCCACTCCCCTCATCCTCATCTTCCTCATTGTCCCCATCGCTGCCCTCTTTCTGGGACGCTGATCTCCCTTTCCTCTTCACCACAGTGGGCCGCCAGTCATTGTCATCCTCACTGTCATAGTCGTCCATGTCATTCAGCTCTTCCATGGACACGAAGTCCAACAGTGGTCGGTTTCGACGAAGATTCCACTTCTTCGGCTCGCTGGCTTGTTCCTCGGTGGTCACGGCTGTCGTGGGGGCAGAAGGGGGTGTGTGGACAGTGGGCAGGCCTGTGGCTGGCGTGCCGGCAGCGGCCGAAGCAGCCCCGTTATCACATACTGCTTTTTCTTTCTCTCGTTCCTTCTCTTTTTCTTTTTCCTTTTCTTTTTCTTTTTCCTTCTCCTTCTCCCTTTTCTTTCTAGGTCTTTCTCCATTTTCGTCTTCCTCTTTCTTTTCCACTTTAATTAACTGTTTGTCAGATGACAGTACTTCTTCCTTGGAAGAATTTTTAGGTTGTTCCTCTTTTACTTTGATATCTTCATTCAGTTCTTCTTCTAAAATATTTTCTTCAGAATCACTACAGGAACCTTCTCCACTGTCCTTTGAAGGATCTTCACTTCCATTACCACTCCCTTCAGAATCTGTTAAAAATATGAGAAAAAAAACCACACATATGTATATACATACACACACACACACACAACGCTGACACAAATGAAACCACCAAAATCTGTGAATAACTTGTAAAACAATATAAACAACTTTAGGTCAAAGAATGGCAGACATTCCCAATCTGACTAAGTAATAAATCAATGAAGCTGTTATTATGGTTTTAATTCAATATAGCACTAATGAAGATGAATATATATAACTAAATTGAAATATATTTTTAAAAGAAGAGCACTGCTTTGTATCATATAGCTTTATCTTCTTATCTGGTATCTTGAGTTAACTTTTTCTAAAGGAAAATGGGCATTTTTTTAAAATTAAATATTTGATTTTAACTTGCTAGTAATATAATACAGAAAAAAATTATCCTACATTTACATTTTCCTTTTATTACCCATATAGCTTACAAGTGATGAGTCACATACATATGATAAATCTGTCCCCTAAAAACTGTTTTATTTAATCTTAACCCACTAAAATAAGCAGAAGTATTTATAATCAACTTGTGCCACATTTCTAATACACATAATCAATTTTAGATCAAGCACACAGGTAAAACAGACAATGGCAATGACACAGAAAATGGAAGATACAAGAGAAGCTATCAATTTTCCTGCTGAGTAGGATACTGTTCATATTAATAAGAGTCACCTACATTTGCAAAAATTATAGGCGGAAACTACAAAAGGCTCTAAAATGGAAGAAGTTCATAAAGAAACGAACACAGCCTGGAAAAGAAAAGCCACAGTAGTTACTAAAGAGACAAAGTGGACATTGAAGAGCTTCCACAGGCCTGTTTCTAGCAAGTCTTTTCCTCTCCCGCCTATAGCACCAAGTCCTCAATCCAACACTACTCAGTAACCTTCCAGGCTTCCTTTATACTCAATCAAGTAAATAAAAATCTAAAATATTTGGAAGGAAGGATAAATGAGAGTAGGGACGAAAAAAAGAGGAACCAAATTTCACACCAATGGACAAACAGGAAAATGAGAAAAAAGGTTATGGTAGAAAGTGAAATAATCTGTTTCAGCCATGTTAATTCCTACTACTTCAACTTTCCTTAAGTTCTATAATTAACTGGGCATCAAAATTGAAAAAAAGTCTGTAAGTAGTATCTGGTATGTAAAGCACCTCAGAAACCTTATACAAATGCCGGATAATAAAAATATCCTACAAGATAAATCAGACAAAAAATAACATTTAACAGATGTTGACTGACCCTAGGAAATCAACGTCAACCTCAACGTAGGTATCCACTGCTCACTCTGAAGTGTTCTGAAAAAACATCTCCACCCTAAACAGTTTCTCACAGGGCCGACAGGCAGTAACGCAGGTTACCAGTTCCCTACCGGAAACCTGTGGTGCCAGACACGTCTTAAAATTCAGGGTTGTACACTAGCTCCCAGTGACACCGATGGTGCCACCCTACGATGGAACACAGCACTTCTGCAGTGGAAAGTACACATGTTTACAGTGCTTGAGAAGCACTACAAATAAACTGTTAGTTCTACTCAGAATGTGTCATCTCATACATTTGTGCTGAACTTAGGAAATATTTTTGGATTTCTGACTTCCTTGAATTTCAAAGAGTGCAAGTCCAGGATAATTTACAGCAAGAGACCAGACAGCAGAACTCTATAAATCATTAAGAAAAATGTTTGATTTTCAAATTGCTCACAATTAAACCCAAGAGACTAAGAAAACTCTCCTCTGGTAAAAAAAAAAAAAAAAAAAAAAGATTTTTTTATAATTTTTTTAAAAAAAAAGATTTTTTTATAGTTTTAAGTAGTAAGTAATAATCAGAGTGGACTTAACATTTAAATGCCGAAGGATCTCTTGTACACAATAACACAAAAAAAAAGAAGAAAGAAAAAGAAAAAGAAAAAAAAAAAACTGAAACACAACCTATGCTACAATTAAGACAGCTAGAGAATGGGGATAAAAGAAAAGGGAGATCAACTTGCTAGAAATCATGATAGATACAAAAGTAAGATTAATTGGTGCAAAAGCACAGGTACCTGACCAAAACTGAGATCAGCCAACTTGATGTTGCTCAGTAAACTTTACAAAAATTTAGGGATTTCTCTGACTTTTTTGGTTTCCATTGTCAAAACCAATTAATTTTTTTCATGTATTTAGTACAGGGTCTCACTACACAGATCAGACTCAGTGATCCTCCTGTTTTCAGTCTCCCAGGAGCTGGAATTACAGGCATGTGCCACCACACCCAGTCTCAACTGCCATCTCAATGCGCCCCAGAGATGGGCCCAGCAGGGCACACCCCTGGGATCTAATCCGGTCCCTGTGACTGCCTAAGCAGATACATTAATCCGCTGATCTATCTGGCTAGCCTGCCAAAGCCAATTAATTTTAAAGAAGAGGTACACTGGTTCCTTAACTCTGTCCTCATTTTATAACTGCTCTAAGTAGACAGCTCTCTTAATTCAAGTACTCCTACATGTGAGACAAAGATCTACCTCTCTCCAGCAATTTTTAAATTATAAACAGATCTGGTAAGCTGCCAGGCTAAGCCTGAATTTGAGATCCTCCTGCTTTAGCCTCTATGCCCCTAGCCACTACATAGTAATTTTTTTCCATGTGGATATTACTAAGGATTGAACCCAGAGCCTCTGCACTGAGTTACACGCTCAGCTTTTTTATTTTATTTTATTTTATTTTATTTATTTATTTATTTATTTTGAGACATTATCTCACTAAACCACTATGTTGCCCTGTCAGGGCTTGAATTTACAAGCCTTTTGCCTCACCCATTCAGAGTGTGACAATTACAGACTTCAAGTGCTGGCTTAAGAACAATTTTTTAAAATAAATTTAAATGTTCCACATGTAAGTATTTCTAGAAAAATGTGAAATTTTCCCACAAATCTAAATCCTCATAACTTGCCAAACCCCATTATTCATATTCCAACTACAAGGATCAGAAATACACAAAATTTTACCTTTCTTTGAGTTCTGAAAAATAACTCATCTAATTAGTCACCACTTCTTTTTAAAACATGCATATGAAGAATGGAGAAAAACAATATAACCACAGCTGGGCAATAATGTGAAAACAATGTCTTTGGTTCTCTGTATTCTTATAGGCTGCAAAGAACAAAATTCTTACTATAAAATCATAGAATATTTCAAATCATCTCTATACCCTGAAAAGGAATAACACAGTGGAAAAATGAGTAAGATATTTCATATACAACTGTCTTAGGCAACTTCAAATCTAAAGTAAATTGTGTTACATTAAAAAAATTTTAAATTGAAATAGTTCTATTTCGTTACATAAAAGGTAACCTCTCTCAAACATATATTGAATCAGAATCTCTCCAAGCAATATCTATTTCAATTAACAGGTAGTACAAAATTTTTTAGTTACAGGACAAAAACACAAATCTTCAAGAATCTCTTCACAGTGTAACTGATAAAAAAAAAAATTAATTTAACAACATTCATCACCACCATCATCACCAATGCTTAAGCTTTCCTCATGATAAATACTAAACCACAAAATCATGATCAACTTTTTATAACTTTACAATATAATTCATCAATTCAATCAAACTTAGTTATCTATTAAATGATACAGTGCAACAGGGATTACTAAGTACCATATACACATAATAAACAGGTCATTAACTTACTATTTATTCAGTTATCTCAGAGCTATCTTTGAGTACTTAAATATATCTGAACATGACTCATTTTATTTTCTGAATCTAGTTCTGCCCTAGATAATACTACATTTTCTGGGTATAGCTAAAGCAGTAGTTCTCCAGGAAGGACAATTCCCCCCACAGAGTGCAAGCATCAACGTCTAGTGCCACTGAAGACAATGACTGCCACAAGATTGGGAGGTGGGGGGGGTGCTAAATGCCTCTAGAAAACAGGGAAGCTGCTAAATATCCTGTAAGGTACAGAACAAGTCTGCACAACCAACAATTACCCAACACAATGTATCAACAGTGATGAGACTAAGAAACTCTCATGTAGTAATAAAAGCTCTCAATGTCTAAGCTCATCTCTTTTTTACTATTGAGATAGCATCTGTCAGTGTAGTCCAGGCTCAGCATGATTTTCCAATCCTCAGGCCTCAGTCTCCTAAGTAATGGGACTACAGGTATGCACTACCATGCCTAACTTTCTAGCTTTCTTCTACTGTTCTTTTACTCAATTATAATCCCCCAAAATAAATGACATGTCCAAACTTGACACCGTTAACATTATAGTCTCCCTACCAAGGTTGCTATTTATCTAGTAAGTTTTCCACCTCCTGCAGTACACCCTTTAACTCCTAGTGCAATGATACTGCTCTAGATGAGCCTAGTGTTAAAGCAATTCCATCTCCTCTAAAAGATCTCAGCCATACAAGTAATCAGTCATTATTTGTATCACCTATCATCTCACTTAATTATTATGATTACCATTTCACTGCGAATTGCCCGTAATATCTAGCAAAATGCTAAATAAACTACAGATGTTCAAGGAACATGCTGATCCACTTATTCAAAGTCAGGTTAAGAACAAAGTAACATCAAAGCAAAATACTTGAAAAGTCTCAGCTTAACTTCCAGTTAAATTACTCCCTGAAAATATTATTTAACTAACCATGGATCAAGAGTTAAATCTCACCACTTCACTTAAGTGGCACAGGCAGGGTGGACCAGGACATGGCACTGCTATGCTGTCTTGCTTAACAAAATAATACATGCACACATCTTTCAACACATTTTTATACAGTAGATGACTAAATGTAAGCAAGTCTTATATCTATCCCCAGTACTAGACCCGAATTTCAAATCACTATACCTAGACTGAACCATGGAGGTACCAAAAGTCAATGTTTTTTTATCTACAAAACTCTAATTTCACATGGTTGAACCTAACATTTCTACATAGATTTCTTCTGCTGGGTATCATCACAATTCCAATATATGAGGGCTAGCCAAATAGCTCAGGGGATTAAAGTGCCTGCAAGCAGTCCCAGGGGCCAGGGGTTTGATCCCCGAGGCCTGCCGTGCCAGCCCACACCTGGGGGCATGCTGAGAAGGCAAGTGAGACTGGGCGTGGTAGCACATGCCTGTAATCCCAGCTCTTGGGAGGCTGTAAACAGGCAGATCACTAGGAGTCCAATCTAGTGTGAGACCCTGAACACTCTCCTCCCTAAAAATACAAAAAAAAGGAAAAAATTATCCACAAAATCGAAATTTACAGACACAGAATTAATTTTAGAATACTTAAAATAAGTTTTAGAGGGCCAGCCAGAGACCTCAGCAAACTAAAGCACCTGCTTAGGCAGAGTGAAGTGGCCAGCCTTAGATCCAGGTGAGCTGTTCCCGCCTGGCCTCGGCCCCGGGGTGCACTGACACTGCCTTGGAGACTGGGCGTGACGGCGCATGCCTGTAATCCCAGTGCTTGGGAGGCTGAAAACAGGAGAATCACTACTAGTCTGATGTACGTAGTAAGACCCTGTACTAAACACACACACACAAAAAAAAACTGTATTAAGTTTTAGATTTTATCCCATAACGGTGTTTGAAAAAATTTGTAACTGTTGAGGCCTATTTTTGTTTAAAATCTTACTAACAAATCAAAACTACAGTCCAGGCAAGAGTATCATCTCTTGATATTTTCTCCACTAAAACTAAGACTTGAATTTTACCTCTGGTCTTTCCTCTTTCTTTCCCTTCTTTGAAAATACCAAGCAGCACTAAATAGGAGGCGAAGAACTGAGAAGCAAAGGTTAAAACAGCTGTGATAAACATCAACTTTTGATGGCTAGAACTGAACTCAATTAGTAACCACAACACCCAAGAAGACTTAGTTTAAGATTACATCTACCCACTCTCAAAATCCTGTGATAAAAACTATAAATTATGGAGTCAATTATGTTAGATCCATTACAGCTAAGTCACCTTACCCAAATTCTTTAAACTATCTACTTTATTGAACTATCAGAAAAGTTAAATGAGACTATGCAAACAAAAGTTCCCAACAAATCCTAAGGCAAGCTGTTCGCTGATGCTATTAAAAGTAATGAGCACTGACACAATACACTCATTTTATCTCTTATCCCTAGCAGGAATAAAACAAAAGCAAAGGAGAATCAGAGGGTTAGAAGACTAACAAAGCAAACTGTCTAAAGGACACTTAAAAACTGTCAGCGGGCCCAGGGACACAACGCAGGGGCACAGTGCCAGCCTGGCAAGGGCAAGGTCCTGAGTTCCACTCTGGTACAAAGAAAAAAAAAAAAAAACCCCTGCCAAGGGGCTGGAAGCACAAGCCACAGGGACAGCACTGTCCTAGCACATGGACTGGGGTTCCACCCCCGGAGTGGGTTCTGTCCCTTGCACTGCAAAGCAAAAGGAAGTTGTAAAAGGGATGAAATGTGTAAGGCTTTAATTTTGCACTTATTTAAATTTCCAAGAAAAGGAGGAAATTACAAATAATTTTTATTTTTCATGTGTTCACTAGTAATTCCCATATGAAATATTTAAAGGTAATTTGTGTTTTTCAGTCTCAAAACAATATATTTAGTAGATACATGAAATATAGTTAAATAGTACAAAGTACTAAAAATACTAAGTATTTTTGTTATCCAATTTCATACAATGGACATATATAACCTCTAAAAATGTGTTTTTAAGGGGGGAGAAAGTTCAGTAGAATAAGCACCTGCCTGGCAAGCTCAAGGTTCTAAATTCAATCCCCAGTAACGCAAAAAAAAAAAAAAAAAAAAAAAAAAAGTGTTATATTTCACTGAATATAAGAAGCAAGCATGCACACTATTAAGAGAGCTAACAGACAAAAAGCAAACTCTCCTTTGAAGGTGCAGAGTGTGACCAAAAAAAAAAACCGCTCATCAGGACTACAGATGGGTCAGGGTACTCTTAAAATATTCTACTTCAGGGTATGTCTTGACTTTTTCCCCTGTGAAATACAAATACCGCTTCAGCTGCCACACAGAGAAAACGTTTCCGTAACTTTGAGAAAGCCCCTTCCTTCCCCACTTGCCAATTATCTGAGTAACGATCAATGAACACAGGCGCCCTCCGAGGATCTAGTGATTGGATCGTAGGGAAACGGGCAAAATAATAAAAGATAGTTTTTTCACTCTATGTCGGCATTTTAATCAAAACCGATTCTTCAAAAAAGAGAAGTATAGAAGCCCAACTCCAGAAAGCTGGAAAAGGGCAAGAGAAAGCAAACATTTACCTGAGGCATCTCCAACTTTAAAATCACTGTCATCTGAACTATCATAATCGAGAGCTTCTAGAAGCGAAGCTGCCAGAGGCTTCACCTGCCTCCTCTTGGAGCTGCGATCCACTGTTAAGAGAAGAAGAACGTTTCCGTCATGCAAAAGCACACCAAACCCGGGGAGGGCCGTGCGGCCGCGGGAAGAAAACGGCGCCCCGGGGCGGCCGGGGGACAGCCGGGCGCGCTGCGACCCCGAGGCCCCGC